GGGGGGGGGGGGGGGGGGGGGGTTGTCACATGACTACAGTGTAAACTTACACCTGTGAGAGGGAGGGAGAGCTGTGTGGATGATGGATCAGGTGGTGTCTCAGTACCAGTCTGGAAATAGATGTAGAGATATACTGTAGATTGATGAAGAGAGCAGATGATCCGGTTCAAGTTTCTGTATGTATTGTTTTAACGGTCCACAGCTTCCTCCGTCTGCAGGAGAACCGGATGCTGCAGGGATCATCAGCTTTTATCCATTTTGTCTCCTACCGGGACTTTGGCTCAGTGTCATTTCTCTTTTGTAACGTTGCTCTAATTGTCCTCAAAGAAAACGTTTTTTAAGTTTATCCTGATTTTATTTTTAACTACACTTCTACAGTATGACAAAGTCAACTTACTTCCCACATCTGCTAATGAGATCTGCTGTTAAAGCTGAGCTGGACTCCTGGCCAATAGCAGGCAGGAGGAAAGGATGTGGGAGTTATAAATGTGGTTCATTGTGCAATATACCTGAGAATCACATTATCACTATTTTGTTAAAACACTTCATATTTAGCATATCCAGCTCTGAGGTTGCTTGATTTTACATAAAGGTCACAGGTATAAACACTCATCAGTCCCTTCAGGAAGACATTGCAATTTTGTCTAATCATTGTAGTTTCCCGTGAGTTTCAACGATCATAGAAGTCCCCCGTGTAAAACGTTGAGCCAAACGTGACCAAACTACTACTACTAACTACTCGCCTTTGATTCTTAATGAATTATACAAAACAATATTTTGCCAATTTTTCACTTTCTTCTCTAATTTAAAAAAATATCACAACATGCATTGCAGATTCTTTGAAAAGCTCTATCAAACATTTTAGACCTCAATAATCCTAAAAGAGTCCTGGAGAGACTGATCTGAGGAATGAATCAGACTTCAGGACACACTGAGCTGCGGCGTGATCACAGTGTTTGAGTTTTCCTCTCTGACTGTTGGGTGTGTTGGTTTCCCAGGTCGACTCAGATTAAGACGTACTCGTGGGACAACGCCCAGGTGCTGCTGGTAGGAAACAAATGCGACATGGATGACGAGCGAGTGGTGGGCGGCGATAGAGGCCGGCAGCTGTCTGAACACCTCGGTGAGCTCGTGGTGTACACACACCAACACACACTTCATATCTATGACTCACTGTTGGGTATACTGACCTGAAGTGAACCAATGAACAGGCAGGAAGTCAGAGGATCACCAAAGTCATTGAGATTAACCTTTTTGGATCCATGAATCTGTCTGTCCATAGGGGCCAAGCTGCTACCATGTTCACTATATCTTCACCACTAAACTATACAGTTGCACAGTTGACCACGTCTTCATTAAACCTCTCTGACCCTCTCCCAAACCATATTGTCACTCCAGGTTTTGAGTTCTTCGAGGCCAGCGCCAAGGACAACATCAATGTGAAGCAGACCTTTGAGCGCCTGGTCGACATCATCTGTGAAAAGATGTCTGAGAGCTTGGACGCCGGAGATCCCGCCGTCACAGGGGCCAAACAGGGGCCCCAGCTGACAGAGCAGCCTGCTCCTCCTCACCAGGACTGTGCATGTTAAAGCTGACTACTCCCCCAAAACCCTTTTCCTCCCTCTCTCTCTTTGTCCTCCTTCAACTGGACCCCAGGGCCTCTGGTCCATACTCCCATCACCCTTCTCACTCACTTTCCTGCTTCTTTCTGTAACCTAGTAAGGATATTGGCTGAGGGGAGCCAAGAACCAGGTTGAAATGGGTCTGAAATGCTCTGAGGTGTTATGGAACAGTGCTTGGGGTGTGTTTGCTTCTGGTTCTTTCTCAAAAAGGGAGCTAAAAGGTTTCAGTGCAGGTGTTGGTCTGATGGCAAAGCCAGTTCAATTAAACCAGAGTGTTTCAGACTATTTGCAGCCCAGGTTCTTGAAGTTTCCCGACCCATCTTCCGTTGTCTCCCTGTTCCTCAGTGTGTTTTTACAAGAAGGATTTGACGGCGTCCGTCCTCAGAGTGCCATTTAAATCCTTCAGATGTTTACAGTACTTTGTTTCATGTCAGTCAAATGTTTTGAAAAGATGTCAGCCTCAGATACGGTGACCAGGAAGGCCACAGTGGAGTTAATGAAGGAGCTGATATCTGCTCCATACTGATGTGTTACATCTCTTATACGATTCTGGATACACACAGAATCAAACATACATGGATCTGTGTTTCATTTGTTGTCTCACCTGGTATCTAAACATGGATTTATCAAGTGTTTTGTTTTCATTATCCATCTGAGCCTTTTCATTTGGCCTTTTTTTTATGTTTTTACATTTCTTTTTTTGTATTCTGGTGCCCCATTTAATCTTTTCATACATACAACACTGAGTGAGGAAAATATGAACAAGAGCTAGTTAAAAAAAATAGCAAAAACATTAAGAGACACATTTTATTTAATTATATTTATTTCAAATGTACATATAAATGTTGTGCAATATATATAATATCTACAGGTATGCATTTCTGGAAATGAATTTTAAAAGGAATGAAGTTCTATGAGGATAGTATCAAATATAAGAGGTCTATGTTGTAGGGTTTGTTTGGATGATGTGTGGCAGCTCCTGCTGTGAGTCGTTTCATTTCCCCCGTCGGTTTGGTCTTATGCTGCTTTCCTGAGATGTTGCAAAGTCAGAAATTCAAACTTCTTGCTAAGAAAAATGCAGTGAAATAATTACCCTTTGAGTCTGAATTACAAGTTGGATATTTACCAATGTGTTTATCACCCTCCAAATCCCCTCAGTGTGATTTGCAGCACTGCTGCTAATAAAGGGAAACATCTTAAAATGGCTCCAATATTAGAGGAAGACGCTTGCTTGAGAAACTTTGTGCTGCATCATAAATGTTGTTTTAAGCCAGACAATGGCTGTAGTGAAGTTGACATCAGAAGTTTTTTAAAATAATCAAACAATTTAAGTGTTTTCAGAAAGCTCAAACTAATCTAAGTTTAGCAAAAGCAATGTAATTAGGGTGGTAAATTATTTGATGCTTTTTGTCCCAACGGCCTCAAGGTGTTACTGCCCCTGCTGTCACTAACAGACAATGTAAAAATGTAAAGATATTTGTGCAATACAATTTGTGCTCGCTAACAATGCTACATATTGATATTACAGTATTTTACATCGGGCAGAAAGAAAGTCCTGCTGGTGTTTGTGAAGCACTGAGGTTGAAATTATGTCGTTATAAAAGCTGATAGCTGTTTGTATAATCACAGCTAATTTATCAAATATCCTCTAACAAATATCATTCAAACTACTGACAATTCTCTAAAAGATGATGGAGTAAGTTGAGAGGATGAAAATCATGTTTTTTTGTTGGATCATTTTTATGGTATTTTGCCTTTATCTGATAGTTTGAGGGAGTGAAAGGAAGAAACATCTGGAGAGAATTGGATGACATACAGTAGACGGCAAGCGGAAACAGGTACGTTGCTGTTACATAGATCGCTTGGCCACTAGGACAGAGGTTTGAGTTTTAACATCACTTAAACTACTGACAGTTTCTTACTGATTAATTAAAAGTTTATTGACAGTACAGCAACTATACAGGAACTTGTCTTGCTGGTGGTGAGGCTTTGTTGCTGTTTAGATGTTAGTTGCACTGAAGGAGACTGTATCCAGGCTCAGACCTGTAATGTGTTTGCAGTTCACATGTTTAAATGCACATTTGATGGTACTGGAAAGACTAGATTGCAATATCATTAGTCATGTATGTGCTGATCTCTTCTATGTCCCTGAGCCTGCAGGACTATGTTAGGTCAAGCTACACGCCAACACTCAGTGATTGAACATTTTTGTTGCTTAGTGACAAAAAGCCCATAATAAGACGTCTCCAGAATAAGTATTACAGAGTCTGTTTGTGTGTAATGTTATCTCCAATGCTCAGTCTTCAGGTGAAGTAACAACCATCAAACAGCTGGAGGCTGAAATGTTCAGGTAGCTGCTGAGTATCTAACGCTACTTTTGAGTCAATACAGGAATTAAATTGTCTGCTCTGTGGTTCTGCGCTGTGTAACCACACTGCACTTCTGCTGACAGCTGTTTTTATGTCTACATAGCTTTACTCTTTCTGGGCTAACATCATCTCCCCTCAGAAAGTTTTAATACAGTTTCCACAGTTTAAACTGGTTTGCCAGGTATTCCTTCTTTTCACTTCACCAAAGATTGCTGTAGAAGCAGCTCCCTGTTTTTGCTGTAGGGTGCCAGAATGAGCAGTTTGACCAGTTTTAAACTGTAATAAAACTGTAATAAAACGAGTGCTTCATGGTGGAAGTGAATTCTGGTCATTCACACCATCATTTTATGTCATTGTTTTTACAGGATTGTTGGTGGTTCTGGTAAAAACAGATAAAGAGGATGGCAGCTATGGATTGGGGTGGGCAAAGCACTATAAAAAATCATTGTGGTGGTCAAAATCATGAACTTCATAGAATCATGTGTCTTTGACTAAATATTTAAAGCAAATATGAATCAAAAAGCATTTATTTTGAGTAACTGTTGCATCAGTCAGCTGGCAAGTGTAGCATACGAACCTGAAATCACAGACGAGCCACTGACTATTAACGCTTGAGTTCCTATCAGAAAGGGAGCGATGATCACGACAAACCTGGGAGACGTTTTTCTGATCCTGCGTATATATATTTTACTTCTTACTGGTTGTGACTGTTTTCTTTTTCCGGTAAAAATCCAAACTTTTAAACTGTTCTCCTTTCTAATATGTCTTCCTCTCTATATAAACCAGATCTGTAAATACTGTACCTTTGAGTCATATGTGTGGATTGTGTTGTATCGACTCAGGCTTGCAACAAAAAAAAAAACAACAAGGAGGAAAAAAAAGAGGAAAAAAGTCAACAGCATCAGTAAAAAAAACTAAAAACCCCCAAAAGAGCCACGTTGTACTGTATCTTCATTCATTTCTAGGCTTGCTTGTGAACGAATGTGTCACTCTGTTACAAAGCAATACACACAACAGTAAGAAATGCCATCCAGCTTGGTAGAGGTTGCCGACTTTAGATCTTCTACTAGCACGCAGAAACATGTACTTTATTTGGTCTCGTATCACTGCCTCTTCAAATCCTCCTCAGTTTGGGCCATTTAAGATGAGAGAAAATGCTGTGGATGTTTTTATCTGTACTTTGTGGTAAAACAATAAAAAGTTACTAACAATCAGCTGATTCTTGTTTTTGAAGATTTTGTACCGTTTGAGGGGGTTAGATGGGGGCCACTGTTACCTGCTACGTCTCACTAATTAACTCAATAACCATAAAGAAAAAACATCTGCTGCATCGTGCATTATTTAATCCAGACAGTAAAGTTGAGAAAAGCTGCTTCTTGGCTCAACAGCCTCAAGATGTCACTATTTCACTTCTAGCTGGAAGACAAAAAATATGTTGTGCAACAAGCAACAGCTTCTTCTTCTTTAAAGGTCCAGTGTGAAACATTTAGGAGGATCTATTGGAGGAAATGGAATATAATATTATATTATTGGTGTGTTTTTATGAGTGTGTAATCACCTGAATAGAGGAAAAACAACAACATACCTGATCCGTTATATAAATGCAAAACAGCATATGAAAATTAGTCTTGCAGGTTTTGCCATTCTAATTTCCTTAAACCTTCAAACAGGAGCTTCCTGCTGAGGTGGGCGACACTGATTGGCTTCTATTAAAAGGCACAGACCTTATTGAAAGGCAGCTAATATTTCGTGTTAACCCTGATCTTAAGGATCCCTACATCGATGTGCAGTGGATTTATCAAATGATAACATTACATATAGGGAACCTACAATTCTTCCCTGCTGGGGAGTCAATAAAAACTCAAATAAATCAGAATCCATCCTCACACAGCAACCTGATGTCTGCTCAATGACAAATTATATATAAATTATTGTTATTTTGTTGTTGAGCTCTTCAAAATTACTTCTGGATGTCAGAAACTGTCCCAACATGTTCACCAAAATGTCCCTTCAACCATTAGTGCGTCAACATCACCTGCAATCCCCCAATTAACCACCAGAGGGAGAAAGATCCCAGGTTTGATGCTGATTCCTGCACACACACCTTTAAAATCCTGTTATTACATAATTTCACTAATTAAGTCTTCATCTTCACATCATTATAATGATATTTTATTGATTTTTAATTGTAGTCCCAAACCCACAATATAATTTCTTACTGTCATTAGGCCAATATTAGTTAATATCTTAATAAAAAAGCATTGATGAAACTTAAAATGGTCTTAAAACTAGTAGTTTACAGTAAATCTTGAATATGACAATTCCTTTATGGAGCAGCACTTGTAGGTCTTTACCGCCCATTCACCTACAGCTGGTTTACTGTTGCACACAGTGATTTAAAAGACTTATATTTTCTCTAACATGCAAGCAAATGAGAGTTTTTCACCCCAAAATTGAAGGAAACAGTGTTTATTGCCAGCAGCATTTAATTCAGAACATACAGCCAAACATCTGTAGGCTAGAGGTGACAGCAACAGTCAGTGCAACAAAAAGGTTACCACTCTTCACATTAAAACAAGAACACACTGAAGTAGGGACACAGTAATGTATAAAATAGAGAAATACATGTTTGTAAATGTCAAGGATTAATAAACACTGATTAATTGCACCCTTTGACACCCATCTGTGGGCCACATTCGAGTATGTCAACAACATGCAGAGTGTTCCCTACAGAAATACGTGATAAAACTGTCCATTTATGTTATGATTGACTCTTTTTTATATGAAATGTGGGTGTGTGCATTTGTACAGCCTGTTCTGTATATATTAAGCTGTGTCATAAATGTGCATATTACAGTAGAAATATGAGTAAATCCTTTTGGTCCAGGTTTGAGACTGCATACTGACAGTCTGTAAACATTTTTACAGGGGGAAAACTGTGTATAGATATGTGTCTTCTGTCATTAGGAAAGCACACGGCCAAAATCCATTAAGAAAAATGCAGTTTAATGTTGCTTTGCGTACCAGTTAATGTGTATACAAGGTAGAACAGGATTATATACATTGAACAGAATAAAGGCAGACGCTCTTCAGTTCGGCTTTAATCCAATAAACGAAAAGGCGAATATTTATTAAAAAAAATCCACTGATGATGAATACTGCATCCTCTCCCTGACAGCAGTGTGGATCCTGGAAACCGCTTCTTATTTTTTAAAACTAAAAAAAAAAACGCAATTCACATTATCTGATGGGCTCTGATCTACAAGCCTGTTCTACCAGGTATATTTATATTCCCGCCGATGCTCAAAAGCCACTTAAACAGCCGATTATTAACGTACAATTTGTCCTATGTGGCCTTTTCACACACACACACACATCTGGGCTACGCTACATGCAGACAAAACCAAACATTATCAAAGTCCATGAAGCTTATATGCTGGTCAGTGAGCCCGTCTTGCACGCCTCTCCTTCCACTAGTGCACCTGAACTTCGTGTGGCAGCAGCTGGCAGCCGCTGCTGACATGAGTGAGGACTTTCTGTTTCAGCTGGGCCACCTGCTCCCTCAGCAGGCTCGCCGTGGAGGCCAGGTCCGTGTTGTGGCTCTTCAGGGTTTTGACCTTGTCCTCCAGCCTGGAGATGCGCTCCAGCTTGCGCATCCGACACTTGGAGGCTGCGATCCGGTTCCTGAGCCTCTTCCTCTCGGCTTTCATGCGCTCCTGTGAGTCAATCTCGATGGGGGACAGCGGCGGGCTCTCCCCGAAGCTCTGCACGTCCGGGACCGTCTGCGGCTCCTCCTTGAGC